GTAATTTCACATTTAAAAGGATATATAACCTAATTCACAGTTTGTACATCAAGATCTGGAAAGTAGTCAGAGAACCGCTCTCTGAGTTTGGTAAGCTGAAATTAGAAAAATTTCCCTATTACCCAAAAAAATATCATTTTTACCCCATTTTGGGTAATTTACCCCGGTTCCCCTACCACTGCTCTAAGTAGTTTATCGCGTCCCATGCACTTCTCAAGTGCTCGGCTTTTATGCTAATCAATGAGAATCACGCTTTAAATATTCAAGTGTCACGCTAAAAATAGACGTCGACGGTGTTTGTTTTATTTCCTTTCATTTCGTTTCTCTCTTTTTTTTTACATTTCGCCCCCCCTTCCTGAAAACGGATGTGATCGAAGACGGCTTCCCCCTCGCATTTATTTCTCTCTCTCCATCTATTTCTCCGTTAGGCTCATTCTGCTTTGTCTTTAAATCAACCCCTCCAGGTCTAAACTTTACGTAACAGACACACTTTCGCTCTCTCTTTTTTTTGTTATATCACAACTTTCTCCCCATATTTTTTTTGGTGGAGGCGGCGGGCCATTAAGCGCGCCTAAAACCGCGCGACGTTTCGCGAGGGTTGGTATGGTAATAGTGTTTGCACACCCACCGCCGCCCACTTTTTCACGGACTTGCTTCACCCATCGACCGTGAAAAAATCGCGGATCCGTGGCAGAAAGTTCCGCTCTAATTGTCCCATATTTTCGCGCCAATCAAATATTTTAAAAAAGCAAATTCCATTTATTTTAATTGAAATTTATATAATGCTGCCGGAAGTGATGGATATTCACCACATTTTTTTTTTGTCCAACACATTTTCCTGATTCATCTTCTCCCTCCTTCAGTAGAGCTAACGAGACAACAGAATAAACTCGTTCCATTTCATCTTCGACCTGATAAACGGATCTAATTACGTTGCCGTTTCTTTCTCTTGTTTTTTCTTTGCTTTTGTTATTTGTTTCGCCCTCTTATTTTCTCCCTCTTATTTTCTCCCACATTTTCCCGACAAATGAAATGATACAAGTTATTGTTTTTTTTCTCTCTCTCTCTAATGACAATCTTCACTCCATTTCAGCGTAAACAAAAGAAAACCTTCTGCTTTTTCTTATTCAATTAATTACCTTTTAATTATATAAAGAGATAGAGAGAGAATTTAACAATTACATAATTGATATTTCTAAACACAATGCGAACAGAAACTTGATATTGTTATAATGCAAAATTACACAAAATTGTGTGAAATTTTCGTTGAATCATTGCGTCATTTCATTTGATTAATTACGTTTCGAGTTGCGCTGCATTACTGTTACCGTTAAATATGATGAATGCGTTTAATTAGGTAATCTACGTTGAAGAATAATCCGAATAATTGACTAATTACGAGCGAAACGATGATGCATCGATGCAACAATTTTTTTTTTTGTTTGTTTGTTACGAAACTGAAAATTTCGGAATTCTGCTCATTTCGTCATTGATTTATGCGTCTCGAGGGATACGCGATTTTCTCTGCTTTTATCCCATTTGGGGAAGGGTTTTGATTCGGACCGTTTCAAATATGCATACGCCCTAGATGGATATTCCGTGTCTCCGCAATTAACCCAATTTCCGCAGGATTATTAATTTTTTCCCAAATCCGCTAATTTATGTGCATCAAATTTAAGTTTTTCTTCATTGGAAACGAAGAATTATTCAATTATTTTAAAAACAAATGCCTTTTTGTTTATATAATTAAATTTTAATTATTTTCCTCAATTATGGGTTAAATATTGTTTCCATAACAACCAAGCAAAAAATATATGTTTACAGTTGCTATGGATTTCTCATAATTAAATTAACAAACTTTATTGTTTTGTTTTTTGATGATATGTATTAAAAATAACCTCTTAGATTTTAATTAATATTTTCATAACTGATAAAGTTAGTATAAAATCTAGACATGGAAATTAATGTCGACTCTTCAGAGAATAAAATGAGTATACATGCAAGTCCGTAGTTGTCCCGGATTTCTTGTAATTTATTGACAAAGTATGGTGAAAATTTTCTGACGTTCGAAATCCCGACTGTATCGAAATCCCGAGTATTTCAGAATCTCGACAACCATAATCCCGACTATATTAAAATCCCGACATTTATGGTTGTCGGGATTTTAATATAGTCACTACGCTCCGAAATAATTTTAAAATGTTATTGTAAAAATTTTCGATATAGTCAGGATTTTGATACATTCGGGATTTTGATATAGTCGGCAAGCAAAATATATGTTTACAGTTGCTATGGATTTCTCATAATTAAATTAACAAACTTTATTGTTTTATTTTTTTGATGGTATTTATTAAAAACAATCTCTTAGATTTTAATGAATATTTTCATAACCGATAAAGTTAGTATAAAATCTAGACATGGAAATTAATGTCGACTCTTCAGAGAATAAAATGAGTATACATGCAAGTCTGTAGTTGTCCTGGATTTCTTGTAATTTATTGACAAAGTATAGTGAAAATTTTCTGACGTTCGAAATCCCGACTGTATCGAAATCCCGAGAAAATCAAAATCTCGACAACCATAATCCCGACTATATTAAAATCCCGACATTTATGTTGTTATTAATTTTTTCCAAATCCGCTAATTTATGTGCATCAAATTTAAGTTTTTCTTCATTGGAAACGAAGAATTATTCAATTATTTTAAAAACAAATGCAAACTTTTTGTTGTTTTTTTTTGTTTATATAATTCAATATTAATTATTTTCCTCAATTATGGGTTAAATATTGTTTTCATAACAACCAAGCAAAATATATGTTTACAGTTGCTATGGATTTCCTATAATTAATAAACTTTATTGTTTTGTTTTTTTGATGATATGTATTAAAAATAACCTTTTAGATTTTAATGAATATTTTCATAACCGATAAAGTTAGTATAAAATCTAAACGTGGAAATTAATGTTGACTCTTCACAGAATAAAATGAGTATACATGCAAGTCTGTAGTTGTCCTGGGTTTCTTGTAATTTATTGACAAAGTATAGTGAAAAATTTCTGACGTTCGAAATCCCGACGTTTGAAATCCCGAGTAAATCAAAATCTCGACAACCGTAATCCCGACTATATTAAAATCCCGACATTTATGGTTGTCGGGATTTTAATATAGTCACTACACTCCGAAATAATTTTAAAATGTTATTGTAAAAATTTTCGATATAGTCAGGATTTTGATACATTCGGGATTTTGGTATAGTCGGGATTATGGTTGTCGAGATTCTGATACAGTCGGGATTATGGTTGTCGAGATTTTGATATAGTTGGGATTTCGATACAGTCGGGATTTCAATAGACGGTCTTCAGTTGTCGGGTTTGCGATATAGATCCGAAAAATCGTTATATAATTGATTTTCTACTTTGTTTGATTTAATAATGTGATTTATCCATTAAGTATTTTGGTATTCCGTGTGCTTGCACGGATCATCCATGTACGTTTTGCGTGCGCTTTCGAGGCAGTTCGAATCGGTTTAAGTTCGTGCATCAAATATTGACGGGAAGTTTTGGCGAAGAAGTGGGACGAAACTGGACAAACAGTGTATAAGGTATTCCGTTGGTGTAGTCGAGAGGATCAAAGGAGTGGAGAAGGGTTTAAGCCAGGCGTGTCGTCCTGTTGATTAGATTCGGGTGGTCCCCATCGGGCGTATCCAGAGACGATCCGATCAGGACGTGTAAGGATTACCCCCATTCATTATCAACTTTATTCCATTATACAAAATCATTAATTCTGTTTATTTTTCTTTATGTCTTTCAGATGCTGAAGATGTGGTCTTCGTCATCTTGAGTCAACCGAATCCATATCACTTGGCCCGAGCGCAAGAGCTCAAGAACAACATCCAGGCACAATCCAAGGTATACAAATCATTCAATTTTGATCTTAACAAAAAATTATAAATCATACAACCATGTGTTGCTACAATGTTTTTATACACGCATTAATCAACTGTATTAATTACCTAGGTAACGAGTTGTTAATTATTTGGGTTGCATAATTTTGAATTGTCAATTTTTTTGATCATTTTTAATGCAACATAAAATATATTAATTATTAAGTGTTGACAAAGAAAACGTTTTATATTTCTTGTGGAAAAAAAATAATCTGATGAAATTTTCAAATTTCTGTTAACTTGATCTTAGATACAATAACAATTGGATCAGTTTTTAAAGTATACTAAATCTAAATTGCATGCAATAAAAACGTATTTATAGATGATTTGAACATGATTTATTGGTGATTTAGATAAACCAGAACGAGCGATAAAATATAGATTTTGATCTAATTTTAAGAGAAAGATTTAACGATAATCTCCAGTAAATAAAATCAATTCGAAAGTGTTAATCTTTTATAAGATCTGGTAATTTTCTTTCGTCTAAGGGAATCGGGATTTTATAGATGAAGTGTCGTGGAAGGGTGGAAATGGAATCCTTTAGTTTTTTTTTCTTTTTTTGGGATCACGATAGAAGGCGGCGAAATGGGATAGCATTTCAATTATCGATCATTATTTAAGTGGCTTTTTGTGCGATCCCCGATAATTAATGGTTTTCCTTCCCTTTGCAATGTTTCCATTCCATCCACCTTTCTTTGCTTTTTTTTTTTTATTCTTTGTTCTTTTTTTTTGCGTGATTTGTTTACGTAAGATCAATCCGTGGTTCATTTATGAAAATCTACGTGAATAATCATTTAATTTTAGCTTCAATACACATATAAGCTTTATTAGTTTGAGTAAAATAATTTTAGTTTAAAATTTCAATAAAATTACGACAATTTTTTAAGTGATTCTGAAGAAGCACAGAAGATGTAGCAATAACAGATTTTACTCATTTTATTATAAGCAGTTTTGTCTTTAAAATTTTTATGAATATGAGGAATTAGGTTACTTTCTTCTTGAACTAAATTGTATTTTCTTTTCACACATTTTTGTTGTGTTATTTATTTACGCAGGATCAATTCGTCGTCCATTTATCACACTTGGATTTCCCACATGCCGGCGGCTGGACGATAATCCCGTTGATCCCGCAGCTCTCGCGTCTGCATGGATCCAACTCCAGTTTCATCGTTTTCCTGGAGGACGGGACGAGGGTCAGACTTGGACGTCTTCTGGACACGTTACGCACTCGCAGAGGAAAGGTCTGATAAATGAGGAATTGAGTGAATTTTACAACAAACTAAACGTACTTTTTTGTTTGCTTTATTTTTAGGATGAAGTGTTTTTGGGCTACGCTCTGCACGATCGTGAACCTTCCATAATCCATCATTTCGCCTTCTACGAGGATCCGACGAGTTTCAAATACCCAAATCTAGCGTCAGGTTTTGCCATCAGCACTGCACTTCTGCTTAGGTTTGTTTGTTTGTAACAGTGTGAAGTTTTTTTTGGACAAATTTTGGTATTCGTGTTTGCAGGTTGAACGAAAGGTTGCGACGTGAGAATATGCCGAAGACCGATTTCAATATAGATAGCGTTCACGAGTTTTCGCTCTTCGTGTGGAACGATGGTGCAGGGGTGGCGTTATCACACGATTCCTCCTTCTGCGTGGCCGACGAGGGCGAAGCGTGCGCCACCCACGTGCGGCCCTTCGAATCATGTGTATGTCTTCGAATGCCTAATTTTCCTTTCGCTTTGTCTAATCTTTGTTTTTGTCTTTACCAGGGGGACGTCGCGCCTCGAGGATCGATCTACTTTGCGGTGAAGACGTGCTCCAAATTCCACGAGGATCGCGTGCCCATCGTGAAGAAGACGTGGGCAAAACACGCAGCAATTCTTAGGTTTTTCAGCGACGTCGAAGGTAAGGAAAAACTACTAAATCTATTTGTATTCTTAATTGATTGGTTCATGCAGATGATACAGTTCCTACTGTAACATTGGGAGTCGCCAATACCGAGCACGGACATTGCGAGAAGACGTTTTCCATCCTCAGGTACATCAACAGAGAAATCGAGAACAGAAATTCGGATATTCGATGGATCTTCATTGCTGATGATGACACAATCCTCAGGTAAGTTTTCAACATATTTCACTATAAAAATAATTCTAAAACTTCAAATTTTTGATTTATTGTTAAAGTTGAAAACTAAATATTTTTACTTGAATAATTGCAACAGTTGTAGTTTTACATATTTGAATGCGTTTATTCCTCGAAAACTATGTTGATTGATGATGGTCCATTTGTCCATTTTATATGCAGATTGCTTTAGGGAATAAAACGAGTGTAACTGAATAATTGTAACATTCAGTGCTCTCTATTTGTTCACTTTTTAGCAAATCAAGTAACAAGGAACGAAAAATAAACAGTGGTAGTCATGGAGACTAGACTCATTTCGTACACAAAATGCAAGTTACTTGTGGAAATACTGGCTATGGTAGTCATGGAGATAGATTGCGATAATTGTGTTTGGAGTCTGGGACCCGAACTAATGTCGAAGATGAGTGATGAATGGTCTTCGCAAATGCACTCGGAAAAGTTCCGCCTGCGGCACTTTGAATGCAAAAGCGAAATAGATTCAATTTGGGGAGGAAGAGAGGAATGGTTTGGAGTTTTGGGTTGATCAATGATCGAAGCAAGTTCATTAGAAGACTCTCCGAATTTTTGTTCTCAGCGTGTCCGGCCTGAGGGCACTCCTCGGCTGCTACGATTCTGGTGATGCGGTGGCTCTCGGGGAACGGTACGGTTACGGAATGTCCGCCCCGGGCGCCGGCTACGATTACATCACGGGCGGCGGTGGAATCGCAATCAGCCGCCCCCTACTTTCGCGCCTCGCACTCAACTGTTCCTGTCCAACCGCCTCCGCCCCGGACGACATGTACATGGGTTTGTGTTTGAAGGAAATCGGAACAGTCATAACGCATTCGCCTCTCTTCCATCAGGTAACGTAATTAAGTAACATTATGTAAGAGATTAAGAGCTTCTTTTGTTTTCAGGCGAGACCCATGGATTACGCAGAGGCATATCTTCGGTCTTACAGCGCCGTTTCATTCCACAAACACTGGATGGTCGATCCCATCAAAGTCTACAACAGTTGGTTTGCATATGCAGACACTGTCGCAGCACACACGGAGCTCTGAAGCAAAAACTACTTAATCCAATCAGTATTTCTGTTTTAACTGTTTGTTACCGCTTTTCACCAAATAAAATATTTTCATACCAAACCGTAGTTTCATTACGTTAATAAATACAAATTTAAGTAGTTACTATGGAAACAGTACCATAGTTACTATTCCAATTACATTATTATTATTTATATATATGGTAGATTTTATAGAAAACTATTATAATTGTTAACAACTTTTATATATTGAAAGATCACTTTTGTCACTAATTATCTTTTAAAGTTAATTAAGATTTAATTCTTAATTTCTATTGTTTCTATTCTAAGTTCATTTAAATTTTGCAGGAAATTTTTATTGAATTTCGAAAATGGATTACCAAATACTTCCAGTATGCTAAAGTATATAAGAAATGTAATATTATGTAAATAAAGGAATATGCACATTTTATTCTTAGTTAGCGTTGTGAGGTATGCAACCCAATTTGCATGGATGCTAAAGAAATTGCCTATAGTTAATGAAGAAGTTGTATTTTTGTTGTAGATGCATTTTGTTTCTAAACTATTGATGACATTACTTAATGTGCGAAGTAGGCTTGAGACAATTGATAATATTGTTGCTATGGTGATATAATTATGTTAGACATATTTTAAAGCTTAAAGTTAAGCAATTTTTAGTGTTGATTCATAAGATAAAAGGCTGTATTAAGTAATCAAGAAGGTATGTTTCGTTGTCATCATGTTACTGGTATTATAACTATTATTTTGTAGGAATGCAGAAGTGTAATTTATTGTTTCTTCTCGTGTTGGATAACCTTGGAGTACTTATCGAAGTTCGGATGTTTTCTGATGTATCGATTGAAGTAGAGAATTTCGGCGAAGAATACCGAAACGCTAATGGTGATGCCGATGAACAGAGCGACGATCGCACCAAAGAACTTCTTCATGTCCATCAGGGCTTTGACCCTTTCCTCGTTGCTTGTTTCTGAGATCATGGTGAAACTCATTATATCGTCCAGCCATTTGCCGACGAGTCCTGCCTCGATGACGCGCCTTATGAACTTATCCACCATAGGCTTTATTGGTGAGTTCTTCTGCAGACCGATGGAGATGGGCATGTTAATTACGCAGTCGCTCATGATATGAAGATTCCTATCGCCATCCTGACCCTCGAGTTTGGTGTCGTTGAGGATTCTCAGTTGCCTTTTAACGCTGGAATACTTCAGGAAATGCGTGTTTTCGTACAGCGCGAAAGTACCTAAAGCAACGCGATCCACGCCGTAATCGGTATCGTTTATAATTTCGAATTTATCGCCGATTTCTTGGCTCGGTGGATCCAAAGAGGTCGAGAATAAGATTCTGTTGATCTCACCCCAACCACCCACAGATATCTTACTGTCAATTATTTCTTGCAGATTGTCGATGGTCACTCGAGGCGTTGGATTTGCAAGTATAGCAGTCATGCTTGCTCTGTATGAGACTACGACTAGAGTGCAGTAGAGCCAGAACCACCCGGTGAGCATCCTCAAAGACCATCCAGTCGGTAACTTCGGAAGCGAAACCACCAGCAACATGCTGTAAGTATATAGGAAGCTGTTAACAGGTTCGGCGAAAACGTAAAGACCTTCCGGTTCATCTTCCTCCTTCAACACCTCGTGCTGTTGCCTCATCAACCTGTACTTAGCATCTACATTCAATTTGGGCTGCACCTGAATCGGACGAGTAGCAACGATCTTTTCATCCATTCCAAACCTATTGATGCGACGATGAAATATTGCTAAGAAATGAAACAAGAAAGCGCAGATGAAAAGGCTTAGAAGCACGCAGGTCCACATCAACGGTCTACAAATTGAAGTACATTGTTATTTGTTAATCAATTGTGTTTCAGAATCTTCAAGTACTTAAAGGGAAGGATCAAGGTTTTCCAGGAGTTGTCGCTCAGCGCTTCCGGCGTTAAAAACGTCAGACATTCCGTGTAATAAGGAATGGTGAGATCCATCAGATCCAAGATGTAATTGGTGTAATAGAAATCACCCAATCCGATGTCGGCTTTGCTGCTTACTAGTTCTCCAAACAGACCGGAATACTGACCATCCGGTTGCCTTATACCCCAGAACTCGCTCTCCGCATTCTGCGGCTCATACATCTCCGGATTGAAGTTCATCGCTTTAGAAATCGTAGCCAAGATCTGCAATTTATTCTATAGTAGATCTTCAAGCTAATGTAAGAATGGTTTTCGTACTTCGATTTCGATCCCTGAGTAACCTGAATCTCCGTACTGTACCACAGTCTTGTGCGATTTGTGCTCTGGTATTTCCATCTTGATTGCAGCCGGGATATGCTGGAAAACAGCCACCTTCAATGTTTGATTCTTCAAATCGTAAGTTTTATCTCTGAATAAGTCCACACCTAAATCAATTTCGAAATTATAATCTTTAGAGAGAAACCAGTCGAAAATACCTTTTCGAAATTTGCTCCTTCGCCAGATATCGATGCGTCTGGGTATGAAGACTCCTTTTATAGGAGACGGAAACGGAACCGTACTCAATTCAAACCAAGGTATGATTTCGCCCGAGGACTTTTTGCTGCCAGCATACTCTTTGATGAAGATCACATTAACCATCCTCTTCCAGAGATAATATAGGTCTTTGTGCAGGATACGGTTATCGTACAAAAAAACGAAATTGGCCCTAGTGTCTAACACTCTATATCTACAAATGAAGTTCATAAAAAGACCATAAGTTTATCGTGTAAAATGTACCGATCTCCGTATATCAAGAGTCTGGATAATTGCAGACCATTTGCCATGAGAATCACGTACATCTGGCAGTCCTGCTTCTTGATCATATTCAAAGCGTCTTTGGTATCTGGAAACGGTGACAGCAGATCGTCGGAGCTCTCAATTAAAATCTGGTAACAATGGTTTATTTAATATCAAATTGTAACTATATTTAAATTAATTATAGAAGATCCAGAGACGTTAAAACTTGAAGTTTGACAAGAAGATCAACTTACGAAAAAGTATGATATAAATAGACCCATCTTCTTGAAGATGTGATCTTTGAAGATCGAGTAGTAGACGTCGTCGCAGAGTATTGCGATGCATTTGTAAGGTTTTAAAGTGTTGAAGAGGACATCACTTAACAACCTCTCTAGATCCTGTTTCTCTTCGGTCACGTCGTCCAGCAAGTATGTTAAACCTCTGTGGGAATTTTATGTTGAAATCTAATCTAATTTCGTGTATATTTTCAGATACCCCTTGTGCAGAGCGAATGTTGAGGCGATGCAGAACGCCAGGATCAGCGAGCCTCGAAGCATGCTTAATCACTGAATCGGAACGGAACAAATTGCTACCCATATTAGTCATGCAAATGGGACATTAATACTAAATGCCTCGTTTGTTCAAAGGTCTTGCATATGCATTTTTCAGAACCAATTCGAATCAAGATTAAGAGCAAAAAAAAGGAAGCAAAGTTCACAGTTCCGATTAAAGAAATCATCCAGTTAATTAAACGTAAGTGTTTGTATATTAGAATCTACTTGAAACAGACTTAATACTAAATTTAGGGAACTGATAAATGTGTTTTTTTTTTATCACATGTTCTGATTGATATTCTATGAAGTTTACGTTCGTGTTTATGCTAGTATTTACAATGACACTTGTATATTGTAATGTATTTGTGACTTAATTCGGTTTTAAAGCATATTTTATTGTATTCCAGTGTAATTGCATAATGTTTTTATTCATCATTTTTCAAGAATCGAAGCTACAAATGGGCGGTGTTTAGTTTTTGAATCGACCAATGCAACGGCGCCATTCGAATCGATAGACGCACTTGAGAAGCATTTCAGGTTATGTCACCGCATAACCATGGATCCGGACGTGCTCGAGTTTCTGGCGGAGAAGCAGCGTGTGAACATCATACCGACTATAAATAGTAATGTGATTCATTTGATATCTGGGGACGTGGGGCCCTTCAGGGCCGGACTCCCTGTGCAGGTGCCTCTGTGGATGGCGGTCAACTTGAAACAACAGCAGAAGTGCAAGATTCAAGCCCCCGACTGGATGGACGTAGATGTGCTGGAGACAATCAAAGACAGGGAAAAAGTTTCGAGGTATGTGCCTCCTCATTTATGCTATTTAAGTCTCGTCCGGGGGGCCACTGTTGTAATCGTGGATTTACAGTGATTGTCTTATCAGAAATCCGTTAAAAATGCAAATCACAGTCATTGCCGCTGACTTTACTGATAAGCTGATAATTGCTTGGGTGTTGTAATAAGTAAACAAAACTGATTCGTGGATGATTTCTTTGTCCTCGAGCCATGACGTTATGTTTATTCTTTAGTTGAATGGAGCGTAAACATTTTAAGTGGTTCGACCTTCGGTTGTAACGTTTTATTTGTATTGGTATAGGGGTGGCAAAAGAAGGGCTCAACCGGGATTTGAACCCGGGACCTCTCGCACCCAAAGCGAGAATCATACCCCTAGACCATTGAGCCGATAAATACGATCAAAGCGAACAATCACATCCTCCCCTGGGCTCCCTCCAATTTTGTAAATATTAATTGAATTCCATTACACTTACGCTTTTCTTTGTATAGTTGTGTACTAACGAACTAGAGACCTCCACGTCTCCTTATTATATAAACATACACCTTTAATGTGTTCGATACACTTTAATATAAACAAGGGGACCAAGAGTAAACTGGGGTGTCCCATCCCTGGGACACAACAGTATGTTATAGGGGGTTCTGATTGGTCGCCATCACCATAATCATCGGCTCAATGGTCTAGGGGTATGATTCTCGCTTTGGGTGCGAGAGGTCCCGGGTTCAAATCCCGGTTGAGCCCTTCTTTTGATGTTTATTTCTAGAGGGATGATCAATTCATATTTACTAAATTGGAGGACTTGCGGGGGGTTCCGGAAGGTCATGATGATCATAATAATCGGCTCAATGGTCTAGGGGCATGATTCTCGCTTTGGGTGCGAGAGGTCCCGGGTTCAAATTCCGGTTGAGCCCTTCTTTTGATGTTTACTAATGGGGGGAATATCCCAGGGGGGTTCCGAAAGGTCATGATGATCGTAATCATCGGCTCAATGGTCTAGGGGTATGATTCTCGCTTTGGGTGCGAGAGGTCCCGGGTTCAAATCCCGGTTGAGCCCTTCTTTTAATGTTTATTTCTAGAGGGATGATCAATTCATATTTACTAAATTGGGGGACTTGCGGGGGGGTTCCGGAAGGTCATGATGATCATAATCATCGGCTCAATGGTCTAGGGGTATGATTCTCGCTTTGGGTGCGAGAGGTCCCGGGTTTAAATCCCGGTTGAGCCCTTCTTTTGATGTTTACTAATGAGGGGAATATTCCAGGGGGGTTCCGAAAGGGCATGATGATCATAATCATCGGCTCAATGGTCTAGGGGTATGATTCTCGCTTTGGGTGCGAGAGGTCCCGGGTTCAAATCCCGGTTGAGCCCTTCTTTTAATGTTTACTAAATGAAGGGATGATAAATTCATATTTACTTAATTGGGAGGATGAACAATTAATATTTTGTTATTTTAAGAAAAGGTTGCGATGATCATCTTTAATGGGTTAATTGGCTCGCGGTATGCTTTGGTTGCAGGTTGTGAAAGGTTGCAATTATTAACTTCATAAAACTTATTTACAGAAAATATGTTAATAGTGGTACTTTGGTCCAATAAAGTTATTGACTTCGGTCCTTGATTATTGAAATTGACATCCATAACTTAAGACTTTCAGAACTTCTCAGTTCCACTTTCATATAATTTTATTTAAAAATACGAATTTGGAATCATGATTTTTGTAGTCCTTTTAAACGTGTTAAATTCGTTATTTTTCTTCAAAAAGAAAGATAAATGTTGATGTCAATGATAGCAATTTCTTCAAATTATATGTTAGTTATTGAATAATTGTTAATTTTCTAATATTTCCTTATAAGGAAAAAAAGGAGTGTGGGCTCAACCGGGATTTGAACCCGGGACCTCTCGCACCCGAAGCGAAAATCATACCCCTAGACCATTGAGCCGTTGTTATAAATAATCCTCTATAATTCTAATTCCAATCCTCCGGTCTTATTATTTTATTCTTTAATTTAACATTAAATCAAACTTTATCTAATATATTATGGTTGCATTTCAGAAACTTTATTAAAATGCCGAGTGAACACTACATGGTGGAAGCCAAATTGCTGCTATCAGCTGCTCCTGATGATATACCACGCACCGATGAGATCAGAACAATCATCAAAGATATTTGGGATATGCGTATGTCCAAGCTGCGAGCTTCCGTTGATTCCATGATGAAGGAATCCGGATCATATGCAGCAGTCGACAATTTGACCATCATGGAAATCAACTCGATCAGACCAATACTGCCACACGCTTTGGATCAACTTTACAGATTGAAGAAGGTAATGAATATATTCTTATTCAAATTGAAATATTCCAATATTCTTATTAAATTTTTAATCATTTTACAGGCTGCACGGATGCACGGTTCCACTCAATCTCAGAACACCACCACCTTCAATTCCAGATTAACAATAACACCGTTCAAGTCGTAATCCTTGAAGTAGTTAGTTATTATTAACTATTTTGTATTTATTTTTGTACTTAATAAAATTTACTTTACATTTGAATTTGCCGCTGCCGGCGTCACGTGGTATTTTTTCGTGGAGGAGGTTATGTTCTATTTTTGACAGTTGATGTAGAGACCTACGGTAACAGAGATGGCTGTGATTTGTTGAATCCTGCGAATTTAATTTCGATAAGTTCTAAATTCTAGATATAGATTAGATTTTCAAAAGCAATGTCGAATCTGGAAGTGCAGGAAGAGGAACGCGAAGTGCTCTTCTCGATTTACGATGGGGACGACAACTTCAAGCAACTGTCTCCAACCGTCTACCAATATAAAGTGAATATCAATCAGAATTCTCCTAATCTTTCAATTAACTGTTCATTATTTTATAGTATGGAGTGCACGATGATCACAAATCTTTCCTGATGGAAATCCAGTGGAGTGAGAATTACCCAGAGGAGAAGCCAATGATCAGCATGGATGCATTTTACAACAGGAATATGTAAGCAAACACTCTTGTCAACATTTGCATTATTGTTTAATTTTGAACTGATTCTCTGTAATTTTAGCGTTCCCACATTGAAGGAGAAGATCGTCAAATTGGTTGAGGAAGAGGCAGAGCAATTCCTTGGCATGTCCATGACATACTCACTTTTCGAGTTTCTGAAGGAAAAGTTTGATGAGTTGATCGCAGAACAGCCAGATGGTGGTGTTGTTGAGCAAGTCACTGACGCTACTGAAAAACTGAACATTGAAGTATGTAGCAATTAATGTAATTCTTGCTCATTTAACAATTGTTGTATTTCAGGACAAACCCTCTGAGAAAAAAGAGAAGAAAGAGCAGCTGACCAAAGCTCAGAAGAGGAGGCAATGGGATAAAGTGGATAACAAAGGAGAGAAGCCCAGAGGATGGAACTGGATGGATATTGTGAAGCACCTGTCGCAGACCGGCTACAAGGAACCATCTCCAGTGCCAATAAGTTAATTAACTTTCAGATAATATCAATTTATTTATAAATATAAAAATATAACACAATTCATGCCAGGATTTACGTCCGTTTATATATAAATCACTGCATTTTCCTGCTGAATGGGTTTCTGAATGAGGGCTCAATGGACATCTCCACCGAGCATTTCCATTCGCCAATTCTTAGCGAATGCGTGCTCAAATCCCATCCTGAGAAAACAATTCCCTTTTTATTATAACGAATCAAACTTTACTTTATTACCGAACTCACCGTTCACATTAAGAGCAGTGAAGAAATTGTGCATTTCTGCGTTCACGAATTCGTTCAAATAGTAAAAGTTCTCCAACGAGAACATCTCCATATCCGTGTACGGAGAACTCGTGAAATTCTTGAGGAGATTTTCGAGCCTCTGCAGCGGACTTCTATGGTGCAGAACCCTCTTCGTGCTGAAACTCTATACACGAACAATGTAACCAATCAAATTATCTAATAATGACAATTACCAAAGCGATATCATTGTAGTTGCACAAGGCGATGCCAAGGATGACTGCGTGAAAGTATGCGGCAATGACGTCTTCAGATTCTACGGTCGGAGGAAAAGAAACGTAGATGATCATCCTCTTCATATCGGGAATCATGAAATACGGCCGTAGGACGAACGCTTCAGTCAGAATCCGCACGTCTTCGGAGCTCGAATCCTGCATAATGTCCTTCAACGATTCACCCAGTTTTATGTCGAAACCGCACAACATCTTAACTTAAATCATCAATATCGATGAGGCGAAGATCACGGTTTATCAATGACTATTTACCATTAACGTTTTGAAAGAAGATGGGCTCCCTTCTGTTCACCAACAGAGGATTTGGTACAGTGTTATATCTCATGTACGTCCTCAAGACCGTCAGCAATCTGGAAGCGTTCATATGCTTGAACACCAAGGCTTTAACCGCATAGTAGTTGGCCAGGATGTGGAACATGGTGAAGAACGAGAACAAGAACCACTCCAACCTAAAACGATGAGTAAATTAATCAAACAAAAAATCCTCGATTAGTTAATTAAAGTACACTTTGTTGTTCTCAATTTGTGTGAGCAGAAAGATACCAAAGACGCTCGCAAGTAAATTGACGCACGTCTCCTGACTTCCATCCTTCGCAGACACATCTGCCATGTTCCCTTTTATAGCCTGGTGCTGTGTTATCGACGCTCTCGTCGCTCCACCGGCCACCCCGACGATCGCCTTCATCGTGCTGGTCAAGCACAGCACGTATGTGGTTATGTGAAACGCGTACGGAAGCGACAACTCTAAGAACATCGCGAAATCGTTGAGAACGTCGGCGAAGATCCTCCAACGCTTCGCATCCGCATCTAACGAGTGTCTGCAGAATCAACCAGAAACATTACACACTCTCGACACGCACGTTGTGCACGAACCCGTTCCACCAGGTGAAAAGAATTCTACCGATCATCCCAGTTCCGTCCTTTAAAATCCACGTGATTGCAGCTGCCAGCGGCGAAGACGAAGTGTTCCCGACGCCGATACCCTGCAGCACAGCTTGCGTCGTCAATATACCGGTGATGGTGCTGCAGAACGCTTGAACGGTGTCCCATATCTGGTAGTTCAGATAGTCGGGGCTCACGCTGTCCGGATAACCGTACGGAAGGAAGACATCCTTCAGACACAACCAGATGCGGTTCACGAAGGTTTGTGGTATCGATCTATCGTTGATGTAATTCGCAATGATGTCTTTATCATCTGCAGTTGAATATAATTAACATTATGAATGATACAAAAAAAAACTCATTTAGGTTAATTGGTTATTTACGTGGCTCGTAGATGATCGTCTGCTCCACATCCTTTATCGACTGCTCGCGTATTATGAACTCGGGAATTATCCTGCTCATATCGTAACAAGTTTCTGTTTTTTTTTCCAACGAGAATTTTATAATCCTTTTTTTGATTTTACGCCTGACACTAGTAAACAAACAACTTCTAATCGGATTGTCAACGTATATTTCCTTGTTGTAGACAACCAAACTAACACCTCTTCACAGAATTCAAATCCAATTAACACTTTCAATTTACCTTTATTCTTCGTTAATTAAACAACAATTGAAATAACGATTTATTTAAGTAATTTAATAAAATCTATTGGATCGGTTTTGAGAAAACTAATTGAAAAAATCTAATTAATTATCATTAAGTAACAATTTTTATATAAAAATACTCGCAATAGAATACACTTTCGCGTGTAGTTTATAGTTTTCAAAGATGATTAAAAAAAATTATTATTATATTAATGTTTACAAAAATGTTCTTATCTAAGTGAATTGAAATACGTTGTTGTAAATTGCACGAAAAAGTTGTTGTGTTTTGAAGAGGATTTTGTAAATAAGAATCGGTGGCGTTGGTTTCCGTTCAGCGTGGTTTTTCTATTTTTACTAGGAGTTCGAGTATAATTACTTTTGGCCGGTGACCAAATATTTAGATTTACTTTCGCATGACAAGTGCGATTTTTTCGCACCTCCCCCGACTGCAATTTTCCTCCTTCTCCACCTACACCTCATCGCCGACACGCAAATCCTTTCGATGGCAATGGACACGTGGAGGATCCGAATCATCTTCTTCGTCGCTTGCTTCGATCTCTGCTGGACGCAGCATCTTACAATTGGTGAGTGAGTGAAGGCGGAAGTTGTTGATAGCGTAACAGTCTTTTTCGCATTCCAGGTGCGCTTTTCAGCGGAAATGAGCAAGAAACGGAGTTGGCCTTCAAGTATGCGGTGCAGAGATACAACATGGTCAATACGGGCATCAAGTTCAAGACGAACATCCAGAGGATCGTCTCGGATGATCCTTTTGCCACAAGCAAAATCGGTATATTAAAAAAAAATAACAACAATTCAATTGCTTAAGATTTATTATTGTAGTGTGTAATATGACTGCTGATGGTGATGGAGTCGTTGCGATCTTCGGTCCGAGCAGCTCCAAAGTTGGACCGATGGTCCAATCGATTTGCTCCACCTTGGAGATTCCTCAGGTTCAAATCTCTTGGAATCCGAGCACCCCGTTCAACCATCAACCCATTCTGAATATCCATCCTGACCAAGATCTTCTCTCTTGCGGAATCGCAACCGTTGTTAAACACTTAGATTGGAGCTCTTACGCGATCATTTATCAAACCAACGAAGGTTTGGTCAGACTCCAAGAAATCCTCAAACTGGTGAACGTCGACGATGAACCGGTTATGGTCAGGCAACTCGGTGAAGGAAATGATCACAGGTTCGTTCATCCGAATACATCATCGATACAAATTCATTGACATTAACACCGAAGGAGCGTGCTGAAGGAGATCAAAAACACGACAATTTCCCAGATCATCTTGGACTGCGAAACCGAAGATATAATCGACATCTTGAGACAAGCCAAAGAGGTGAATCTTTTGGACGTGTTTCATAGCATTCTCCTAACATCTCTGGTGATAACTCTTCACTCTCTTAACGCACTTTACTCACGTTATCTTTATCAAATTCCAGGACGCTCACACTTTGGATTTCAATATTCTAGAAACGAACGCCAACATCACAGTGGTGCGCATCGTGAATCCTCAAAGTCAAGTCTTGGAGAACTCAATTTTGGATTGGAAGCAAGGCGAGATGTATCATCAAAGATATCACGAAATATCGGCCGATAAAATCAAAGTATTTTGTTATTAACAAATTTAAGAGTTGATCATGAAAACTTCTGTTTTCAGACTGAAACCGCGTTGATGAATGATGCAATTTACTTCTTTCTGTCGGCGCTGAAGGAGCTTCACGAGAGCGAACCGATTGCAACGAAACCGTTGCTTTGCGATGGAAGCAGCAAGAAATGGGAGGACGGTTTCAGAGTCAGCAAATTCCTGAAAATCGTACAATATCCAAATGTCTTCTGTTTGCGTTCTTCAATTCACTATTTATTTTTTTGCAGAAGTACATGGAGGATGGAATTACTGGTCCAATCAAGTTCAGCGATGAAGGTAAACGTGTAGATTTCACGATGCAAGTGGCTGAGATCATCAACGGAAGAGTGGAAAAAACCGCTTACTGGTATCCATCCAAACCTGATGAACTTAGTTTCACGAGGAACGCCAGTCAGCTGATGCAGCAGATCGTTGAAAATCTGCAGAAGACCACGGTCATCGTTTCATCCAGGTATTTTGAAAGCAAATTATATCGATGATGGATGATTTGGATGAAAATTTGCAGAATTGGTCCTCCGTATTTGAGGAACGCGGAGGCGCGACAAGGAGAAGTATTGATGGGAAACGATAGGTACGAAGGATTTTCCATGGATCTGATTGCGAGCATCGCGAAAGAGTTGAATTTCACGTTCCGATTCGAGCTTACCGAAGACCACAAGTACGGTAATTACGATCCGAAGACGAAATCGTGGAACGGCTTAATCAAAGACCTTTTGGATAGAGTGAGTTTATAATATGTTCATATAAATAATCGATGTTTAATCTGTTGTGGGTTTTCAGAAAGCCCATTTGGCTATATGTGATCTTACTATCACGCATGAAAGAAGGGAAGTTGTGGATTTCAGTATGCCCTTCATGACTTTAGGTGTGAGTATATTGTACAGCAAAGGCAAGCAGCAGGATGAGAACAAATTCGCCTTCATGGATCCATTCGATCTGGAAGTATGGGTTTACACCTCAACTCTATATTTGGGTCTTTCAATTTTGCTCTATTTCATCGCAAGGTCTTTTTATAAATCTTCAATTTTTTGCATAGTGAATAGTTTTGTTTATGTAGAATGGCGCCTGGAGATTGGGAGAATCCACATCCTTGCAACCAAAATCCGGGAGAGTTGGAGAACATTTGGAATTTGAAGAATTGCACTTGGATTACTTTAGGATCCATAATGACTCAAGGCTGCGATATTTTACCAAAGTAACAGTAACATTAAATGTCTTAACTCGTAATCATTATAATTGTTTAATTTGCAGAGGAATATCGACGAGAATGGGTGTTTCCATGTGGTGGTTCTTTTCCCTCATCATGACCAGTTCTTACACGGCCAATTTGGCTGCGTTCTTAACGATGGACAGGATGGCTCCGACCATAGATAGTGCTGATGCTCTGGTAAAACAGACGAAGATCAAGTATGGTACTGTCGAGGGTGGATCGACTCAAACGTTCTTCCGCGAATCGAACTTCTCCACGTATCAGAGGATGTGGACTCAGATGAGTTCGACTCGTCCGAGCGTTTTCGAAAAGAACAACGGGGAAGGCGTTAAACGAGTCTTGACAACGAAAAATCAGCTGTACGCCTTCTTGATGGAAAGTTCTAGCATCGAGTATGAAGTGGAGAAGAATTGCAATTTGAAGCAAGTCGGAAACCGTTTGGATTCTAAAGGCTACGGCATAGCTATGCCCATGAGTATAACAATATCAATGCAACAAATTGATCCGAAAGTAATAATGAGTTTACATTTGCAGATTCCCCTTACAGAAGCGCCATAAACAAAGCGGTGTTGAAGCTGCAAGAAGAGGGAACTTTGAACGAGTTAAAGAATCGCTGGTGGAAGAAAAAAGTCCCAGTCGAAGTCCCATGCGATGTAGATCATGTTCATCAATAACCATCACCGATATAAATCCTATTTTTTTTTTGTTCTTTTCCAGAAAAACATCAAATCTTCAGGCGCCGATTTAGCTTTGGACAACGTCGGCGGCGTTTTCATCGTTTTGGGTATAGGAATATGCATAGCTTTCGGCTTCGCCTTCCTCGAGTTCCTCTGGAACGTCCGGAAAGTCGCATTGCAAGAACACGTAACGCTACGAAAGTTTGAATTTGTTGTGGGGAAAATAACAATTTGCTCGTTGCAGATCGGCTATTGGGATGCGTTCGTTGTTGAATGTAAGTTTGCTGTTAGGGTTTGGGTGACCAAAAAACAGGTGAAGCCCGATCTGTCTTCGGATTCCGACAGCTCCAGAGACAACTCAGAGTCGAAGACTGTTGCTCACAAGGTCTTAAAAGGTGCTGGTTCTTTCCTGCATTTGGACGATTTCGAGATCAGTATGTTCTGAATACAGATATATTGCATTCAAAAATTGGCATATTTCATAGTGGCGCCCTCCATTACCGATATTTATCAACTTTGACCTCAAATGTCATAGAGTTTGGTTGTTTCAGTTAAAATCATCATAAATCGAGAGTAATTATCCGAATATTTCTTATTTATATAGCTTAGATTGTATCGTTTGTTGATTCACGTAGATTTTACAGCTAAATAAAGATATTGATATCCAATTTTTGAATGTAATTGACATATTTCCAGTGGCGCCCTCTTTTGCGAATGTTTGTCAACTTTTACTTTACAAGCGTCAAGTACAACATTTGATTAGTTTTCAATTTGGAACGTCCGGAAAGTCGCATTGCAAGAACACGTAACGCTACGAAAATTTTAATTTGTCGTGGGGAAAATAACAATTTGCTCTTTGCAGATCGGCTATTGGGATGCGTTTGTTGTTGAATGTAAGTTTGCTGTTAGGGTTTGGGTGACCAAAAAACAGGTGAAGCCCGATCTGTCTTCGGATTCCGACAGCTCCAGAGACAACTCAGAGTCGAAGACTGTTGCTCACAAGGTCTTAAAAGGTGCTGGTTCTTTCCTGCATTTGGACGTTTTCGATAAGATCAGTATGAAACGAGAGTAGTCGCTGAAATGCTCTTCAGTATATAGATTTGCATTAAAAAATTGGCATATTTCATAGTGGCGCCCTCCATTACCGATATTTATCAACTTTGACCTCAAATGTCATGTCATTCAGTTAAAATCATCATAAATCGAGAGTAATTATCCTAATATTTCTTATTTATATAGCTTAGATTGTATCGTTTGTTGATTCACATAGATTTTACAGCTAAATAAAGATATTGTAATCCAATTTTTGAATGTAATTGACATCTTTCCAGTGGCGCCCTCTTTTGCGAATGTTTCTCAACTTTTACTTTAGAAACGTCAAGTGCACCATTTGATTAGTTTTCAATTTTGATATAAAGATCATTTGGTGGCAGAAATTGGGTCGTAAATATTCAAAATAATACTAAAAAGAAACAAATATATTTAATAATATTGCGAAATTATTCTTGTTGGAAGAAAAGTGCAGCACATAAATCTGGTAAGAATCTTAATAAATTTAATTATAACCTAACGACGCCAATCATATACATAATTATTAATCAATTAACAGATTTAATAAAACGCGCTAAATTTAAACTTAATTGACGGATCAATTTGACCTTTTGTTTATTGAAAAAATTAAGTGATTCACGAATTTTATCACTAGAGTGCGCTGGTTGTACCGCTTGTTATATTATGACGAAGAATTGTAATTAGTAAAGCGGGAATAGGAAGAGTTTAAAAGTTTTGTTACATATGAATTTCTAATTGAAATTAATTAAAAACCATTAAAATTAATTTGTAAAGTGAGAATTCGATAAACTTGTACTTTATTCTTAAGTTTATTTGTCTGTTGGAGACATAATTGTACGTCTAGTTTCGTAACGCGTCTCGCGTAAATACCATACACACCTATTTTTATCTATACTTATATATTTCGATTTCATTATCGCATCTTCTTTGGATGGTCCGAAAATAGCTCGGACGCAATCAAGTGACGCCCGGCGCCGTTGCACCTGTGGCTGAGACCCGTTTGTTTTTGGTTGATGCGGTTTTGTTTCGATTTCTTTGTGCGTTTGTGCAATTTCAGCGCCGTCTTTAAAAACAAAACCAAAACAAAAAAATCTAACGTGCATAGGAAACTGGGTCGCGCGCGCGTTTTGCATGCACACAAATACACAATTGTGTTCAGTTGCTACCGATCCATCACTGTTCATGTCGGAAGGGAATTTCTGCATTTCGAAAGCAAAAGCAGAATTCGAGAATTTGACCGCGCAAAAAGTTCCATTTTCTGAACTGTCTCTATGTCATAAAGCTTGAATTCTGCATAAAATCTACACAATACTTGTCAAGTAACATAATGCAAGTTACTTGGCAC